AGCTGTGCACGGCCAGGCTGGGGAGCAGAACCGGCTGGAAATCTCCAGGAAAAGAGATCTTTTTGCCTTAGTTATGATTTTTGGGACATCTATAGGTGGCGGTGTCATCTTCTCAGTGTCCAGGTTGGTGCCTTGACTTGGGCTCTCCAGAGCAGTTTCTCCACTGAGCAGCAGACCAGCCAGCCCGTGGGGCAGGACCCATCTCTAGGGCATGTCTGTCACACAGGTCTGGAGACACTCACCTCCTGAGACAGCAAGTTACTGTCACACACTGACAGCCTTGGATTTAGGAGGGACCAGGCATGGTAAACGTGGTGCCAGCTGGGCCAACTCTATACATATGAGAGCAATAGTATCTCATAAGCAACATCTTAGTAACCACTGAGGAAATTAATGGAGCCACCAGAGTTTTCCCAGTTCAGTAATCATGATTTAGTTTCATATTCCATACTTGATGCCAACGTTGAGAACATTGGATGACCCTTTGAGTGCCACAGGTCTTTGTGCATCTCTCCCTCTTGCCTGGTCATTCCATGGCACTGGGCACCTTGCCATCCTCTGGTGGCTGCAGTGACTATATTTAGACCAGATCTTGTTGCTTTGATTATGAGCAGGAGATTTGGAGTTTCTTTGCTTCCCCTCTGGTCAAGCAAACACTCCATGGGAGGCATTAACATTTCCAAACACCCATTACAGGAGCACTTAGCAATGTTCAGCCAGTTGGATCACTCAATTGGTTGAACAAAGCTAACCCTGTAATTTTGCATACAGGGTGCCTTGCACATGAATGAGAATAAGGAGGGAGTGGGATGTGATGTGCTCTCTGCTCTACTGCTCTGTGCCTGTGTCCTGGAAAAGATGGGTGTGGAAGAGGAGAATAACCACAGTGAAATTATTGTCTCTGTTTAGGCATTCTGAAATCTTTGTGTTTATGTGGCACATACCTATAGCAAGAGGCCAAAGTGCATCTGAATGGGCAGGTTTCCTCATGTAATCTGTAAGTGTGGAGAGAGTGAAGGCATCCCATCTTTGCTGAGTCCTCCACCCAGAGTTCTCCACTTTTCCTGAGGCCTCCATGGCTCTGTGGAAGGGCTCAGGCAGCCTTCATTTGTCTAACACTTTGTGCAGCTTTGCTAAGGTGAAGGAGAGGCAGGGGAGAAGGTGTGAATGTAGGCAGTGTTCCTGCAAAAGGACAGAAAAATTCAGCGGGCAGCCTTCATTTGTCCAACACTTTGTGCAGCTTTGCTAAGGTGAAGGAGAGGCAGGGGAGAAGGTGTGAATGTAGGCAGTGTTCCTGCAAAAGGACAGAAAAATTCAGCAAAAAAAGATTTTTGGCATTTGTTAAGAAACCTCCATCCCTGCATTGCAGGTGAGCCCTGTGGTACCAGACATGGGTCTGGAGAAGTCCTGAGTGGGAGGTTGGGCTTGGTCAGTTTGTGTGACAGCTCCCTGCTTCCTGCAGCTGCTTCTTCTGGTCTGAAATTCACTTCAGTTTAGACATCTCTCCCCTCTTGTTTTTATTTTTCTCTCCACAGATACAGTTGCTAAAGTGATTGACAAATTTGAGGATGAAACTGCAGATGACATTTTCCCTGCTGGTAATATAAGGAAAAAAGCTTCAGCCTCTCTTCTGGAAGATGATAAAAGGTACAGTGGAAAGGCTACATCTCGCAAAGCCTTGCAGGAAGAGCTCTGGGGAGATGCTCTCTCTGAAGGAGGATCTGGTAAGAAATCTCATTTCTTTTCCTTTTTCACTAGACTGCTCAGAATTTGATGTCAGCACATTAACTGAGCTAGTGCCATCTGAGCTGAGAAGACAAACTAGGTCCTTGTTACAGGGCATTAAACAGGTACAGTTAAGGTGAATGCTTCCTTGAAGTACCTTCCTTAAATTCAGGCCCTGATTTTTGGCCTGAGGGAAGGGGAAATCTCAAAGAGGAGGTCACTTCAGAGTGTGGCTAAGGGGGAGGTGAGGTCCAGTGCACTGAGCAGCATGTGGAGGAAGAGAAACCACTCCAGCTTTTGAGCCAGTATATCTCAGACTCCAAGTATGTACAGTATTTTTTCAATGTCTATAGTAAATTCTCACCACTTTGTTTCCTTATCATGTAATTGTTTCATGGGAGAGCTCAGCCAGGGATCTACTAATAATTGCTGCAGAAAATGTGAGCTGAGATCTTTTTGTGACCATGGCCTTGTGTTGCCATTATTTGGCCAAAACAAAGAGTAACATACCTAGATAAAAATGAGGTTTGGGGCTGAAATAGCCCAAAGCTGTGGCCGTTGGTGCTGCATGCTGCAAAGTGGCACATTTTGATAGGCACTAAATAACTTGTTTTCTCTTTTAATTATTAGCTGAAGAAGAGTTAGACGAGTGGTACAGTGGCAGTGAAGGTTCTGAAGAGAATGGCAGCTTGGGCAGTGAGGCAAAGGGGAAGCCCAGCAGTGCTGGCAGTGACCAGGAGGATGAGTTGGAAGATGATGAAGAGACAGACCAAGGCCAAGTCAAGGCCAAGGCGCCCGAGTTCCGTTTCCAGAACATCACAGACTTGGAGAAATTTACTGAGGGAATGGATGATGTGGGAAGCAGCGAGGGGGAAGATGATGGTGATGATGATGGTGATGCTGATGATGATGCCAGCATGGAAGAAGGAAGTGATGAGGATGAATATGGGAGTGAAAACCATGACAGTGTGAAGGAAACCAAAGACGGTGAAGATGATGGGGGGATAATGACATTCTCAAACAGACAAGACACTGAAGAAGTAGAAAAAGGAAAAGCCTTGAAGAACCAGCTAGGTTTGTGCACGTTTGGTTTGTGTTTTGACAAGACTTTCACCTTGCTGATGCTATAGAAACTGCCCGTGTTAGGAATCCCCTCAGCATCTTAACGTGCTGCTGGCGTCCTGCATGTGCATGCTACAGCAGCCCTGGTGATTTGCAAATGTTCTGCCAGACCTGCTGTGCAAGCTGGTGTTGCTGCTGGCATGAAATCTCAGGTTATGAAGCATATTTAGTGTTTATCCACTGGCTTAATTGAACCAGCACTGACTCCACGTGGAGCGTTGGTGGGGATCCCCCAGCAGAAGCAGGATCCCCATCCCTGGCAGTGCTGTGCAGGGGTGCTGAGACTGCTTCTGTTCCTTTGCAAAATGTAGAGCCAGATATTTTTTCCCACCTGTCCTATTCAACTATCAAACCCCCATTTGCAGAATGTCCTTCTAAACAGTAAAGCAAAGGGATGATATTTTTTTTCATAGGATGGGTTTCTGCTTTGTCCAGAGACACCTTGTGGTACCAGTTTTGTGTTGAGTCAGTGAATGCAAAGATTTGCCTTAACCAGGAGGAATGTAGCCCAAAGGAAAGAGAACCTGTGCTGTTAAATCAACAGCTCCTTCACAGGGAGCAAGTGCTTTGGCTTGCTAAAATTGTGTTCTTTTTATCTTTGTTATGAAGCACTGAGGGATCAACTACTGGAAGGGAGGATCAAGATGCAGAAGGCACTCATGACAGCCAACAGGCTTCCCCAGCCAGACACTTACCCAGCCTTCAGAGAGGAGGGTGGACAGGAGTTTGACAACGCGGTCAAGAGCTGTAAGAATTCTTCAGTCTTTCTACTTTGGGTAGACTCTGTTGTAGCCACTGTGTCTTGCCTGTGTGGGGAAGTGTTAGTGGGGAAGTGAGGGCTCTGAGCTGTGTGTCTGTAGCATCAGCTGGTGGTTTGTATTGCTTTAATCATTAATTAGGTACAAACAGAAATCAAAGTTTCCTACCCCAGAATAAGAAAGTGGCTCCTGTTGCCCACATCTGTGCCTAGCTGATCTTTTCTGGTGACCTGTCAACATGATGCTGGAAAGCCTCAGCTCAGGTCCTACTGCTGCTTGTAGACCACGTGGGGATTGGAGTTGGTTTATCAAATTTAAGTTTTGTGCTGGATCTTGGGAATAATTGGTTGGGTTATTGCTGTTTGGTGCAGAATTGGGATGCTGCTGCTTCGTCCAGAGAGTGGTCCTGGTTCTGTGCTGGATCAGTGAATGCAAAGATTTGTCATAGTCTGGAGTATTGTAGCCCAAAGGAGAGAGACCATGCTGTTAAGTCAAGAGTAAATATCTTGGAGCTGCTTCATCTTTTTATTTTTTAAGAATCACTCTTAATGATATTGATCTGATGAGATTGGTAGTAGATTCTCCAGTACAGGAGGTGTAATGTGCATGCTCCAGTTGATAAGTGCAAAGTATTCAACTTCAGAGTGTTGTGGGTCTATTTAATTCTTAGAATTGGACACTTTTCTTTTACTGGGCCTAAGGTAAATGCACAGGGAGATAAAATGTCTTGTACTTTATCCTTAAGAGCACAAACTACTGGAGGTAACAGTTGGTGTCCATTTCTCCCTGATGTGTGTGTTGTTTTCTGTCAAAACCCAGGCAAGATGACAGTGGTTGTGTACAGACAGTTCTTTTTTCTAATCAGAAGTTCATGCATTTGCTAGGCTATTCTTTCAGTGGTTTTGAATAGTAAAGTAAGCCCAGTAGCATTTTAAAGCTTGCTGGGTTGGTCATCCCTTCCAGTCCCAGTTCTGCTTTCCCTGGTTGGTCATCCCTTCCATTCCCATTTCTGCTTTCTCATTTGTGAGGTCCTGCTCTCTTTCCAGACTCTTGCAGCTCCACAGGGAGCACCCCAGGGAGGATCCTGAGAAGCCCCTTAGGTGAAGCAGTGGGTGGAAACACTGCAGTGCTGCCCATAGCCCCTCACACTGACCCTCCCATCTGGGTTGCTGTGGTTGGGCATCCCCTCACGTGCCAGTTTGTCTGTGCTGTAGGGGTACCTGCACAGTGAGAAGTTTTGGGCTGGGCTGGCACAAGTCATCTTAAAAATGGATTGAGGAACTTTTGCTGTTGAACTTGACCCCAGGTCTTGCCCCTACGCCAAGTTTTGACTCATTTTATGGCTCATACCTGAGGTGAACGTGGTGGTTAATCAGCTTATCTGGAGTTACAGCAGGGGGGATACTTTATATTTGAAAGTTACTTCTGCTGCTTTAAATGAAGTGATTAAGGGGAAAAAAAAAGGCCAACTCCCAACAATACTAAGCTGACCTTTCAGTGAAATCCATGTTATTAATGTATTTAATGAGATGCATTACAGACTGCACCGAGCAGCGTGTTTCATTACAGGTCTAAAATGCAATATCATTAAAGACCTTTAACAGAAACAATGGTTGACATTTTGATATTTCCCATCAGCAAAATACAGCCAAGAACATAGAGTGTAATACTGTACACAGCAGAGCAGAGAGGCTGATCTTACAGCTGTCCAGAACTCTAGAGGAAAATCCTCTGTTCATAACTGCTCAGTGATTCCCTCCCCAGCATCTTCTCGTGGTCTGGGCAGGACAGTTGCAGTAGTGTGCTCTGCTGTGCTTGGGTTCATGTTCCCTTTCATCTGTGAAGACTGCAAAAAAAAAGCTGGAGTGACCTGAGCAGAGTTAGCAGAGGAAGCCCCCGGGGTGACTGAAGTCAGGAATTTAGGAACACTCTGCTACTGCTACACGTGTTTAGTGTTTTTTCTCTGAGGGACTGAAGTTATATTCCTTTTTTTAATTTCTGTTTTTTAAAAGTACAGTCTGTAATTGTACAATAAAGTAATAAATAGTCATTTTTGGTGAGCTGCACTATTGCCCAGTGCAGCTGTTGCTTCCTTGCAGAGATGCTCTTCCCAGTAATAAAGTGACAAGCATGAAATAAGGAGTAAACTACATGAAGATCTTAGGAAAAACTAGGGATGTAGTTGGAGGTAGGTCTCATCAACAGCTAGAGCATTCCCCTGTGGGCACTCTGAGCTGTGTCACATCTTCATTCATCGAGCTGCTGCCTGGGTAACAGGGCTGTGACCTGTCAGCTCAGGAGGTGAAACACTCCTTTCTGAAAATATGCATGGCCATATATTTAAAGTTCTTTCATGAATCAATGCACTTTGATTTATGGGGGGGGGGGGGAAATTCTCACTCATTATAAATGGTGTTCCAGTAAAAGTCCTGATTTTTAGCTGGTCAAGTGTTTTAGTGGCTTCTATAAAAATAAACTTTTTTGCATGGTTCTGCATGGTGATGTAGTGGGCTCAGTAATTCTGGAGTCCTGAGTTCTCATTCCAGTTGTCTTACCAGCTTCTGGGTAGGATCTCAGACAGGACAAATGAGAATGTTTGCACATGAAAAAGTTCAAAGAGGAGTGGAAGACAGGACTTGGTAAATATTGAATGCTGAGGTGGTTTCACTGTAGGTGGTGCCCTTCAGTCTTGGGCAGGATTTGGGATAATCATGACACTGTTTTGGACTGGAGGATACTTTCTTTTCAGGGAAGCCTCAGCACTTCTTTCCAAATCCACAGACTAAATTTGGCATGCTTTCATCCTCGTTGTTGGACAGGAGGAAGTTATTTGGTGCTCACGTTTCACAAAGCAGATGGTGCCAAAAATCCAGATTCTCAGCATCCACTGCTGAAGGCAGGAGGACGTGGAGAGTTTTGGGCACCCAGCTCTCTCTCTGAGGTCCTGGACGAGGTCCCTGTGTCTCTTTGAAAGCCACCCCAGAACACTTTCAGTAATTTATCCCAAATCCTTCCATTGATCATGAAATTTCTCCTCTGTGCTCACAGGACGGGTGGATATTTTTGAAATGGAAAAATTGGGTGTCTCCCACTTGGTGGTGGTGAAATCCCCTAAGGGATTGAGTGGAATTGTGAGTGGACAGCAGTGCTCTATATGTTTGATGTTTTAAAGCCAAATCTGAGTGAAAATGGTTAAGGGCATGCTTGTTTTCCAAATTTGGAGGCTGAAGTGTTTAATTTATTTATTAATTTTTTTTTTTTTAATCGTTTATGAAATTATTTAAAGAGAAAAAAAAAAAAAAGATAGAACCTGCCTTTGGACAGTCTTGAATTCCTGAGATCTCAGGTTCTGGTGGATGATTTACTGCAAAATTGCTTATAAATTGAAGTAGAAAATGTTTTGCAGACCTGGCAGCTTTCAGGCTTCACACCCATTTGTCACCCAGCATTTCCCTTTGTGTATAGAACAAGAATTAATTAGGCTGCACTGCAGGAAAAGTTTATGGCCATAATTTATATAGGATGAATTTCTGTTTAAAGAGACAGCATTGCTTTGTGTGCATGGTTTTACTTTTTCTTCCCCCCCCCCTTTTTTTTTTTTTAATCTTTAATTATATTCCAGATTTTTTTTTTTTTCCATGACCCTTTTTACATACAAATTGGAGCCCAAACCGTGGCCCTGGAGCTCATGTTTATTTAGTTCTGCATGCAGGGAGGAGGTCTGAGTGGGGTTGAGCACTGGAGTGGCAGTGGCTGAGAAGTGCTGAATGCAGCGTGGAGGTTTCACTGCATGCAGGAGCTCCAGCATCTTACGTGCCAGAGGAGCTGCTGCCTGTGCTCTCTGCTCCAGGACACCTGAATTCTCTCTCCTTGCATCTCCCAGCCTAGTCCAGGGCTGGAGATGTTGCCTCTGTTTGGGGTCCTGCACGTTCAATTAATGTTTTTCATAATCAATGCGAGTCAGAATTTGCAATCTGCTCCTGATTTGCACATTAAAGAGAGCCATTAATTAAAAATTCCAATCCCTGGCATGTTCCCGCAGGATCCTTGCATTATTTACATAGAAAAAGAGAGCAAGGTGCAAGTTTCTCTGCTGTGCTGCTGCACAGATTGCAGTGCCTGCCAGTCAGAGTTCTGTGTGTGTTTTCAGGGGGGAGGAAGGTTAGAAGTGGATCTTGTGAAAATGTCACCAAAAATTACCTCAAGGGCAAGAAAGAACCAAAGAAAGAGGTGGAGGAAACATGAGTGAATTGTCAGGAATTCAGCAGTTCCTGAGTTTGGGGCTTGTTGTGTTCAGTCTTGATTCTGTGATAAAACCCCACAACTGACTGAGGGGCAGGGAGGGGGCACCAAGAGCCTTGAGAAATGCTGTCTCAGGTGACAAAGGCTGGGAGCTGCTGTGTGTGCCCTGGGGAGCTGGGCTTCCCCATAGCCACGTGGCTCTGTTCTTCCTATTTGAATGACTCTCTCTTCCAATCCTGGTTCAAAATACTAAATTGGGAGTGTTTTGATGACTAGTACTTTATGCTCCACAAAAAGAGCTTGGAATTCTAGCTTTTAAATGTGTTATGTTCAGTTTTTAGTGGGTGAGATGAGGACTTTAAAACACAGAAACCAGGAGAGGCTCTTGCAGAAGGCAAGATGCTGGTGGAAACCACAGGACTTCAGGTGGACAAGTGGTTGTGTATGGGGTTATATGTATTTCCTTTCACTTCCCAGGAATTTTGTAGGCCCCTGAAATGCAACTTACTGGCTGAGTTTTTGTGGTGTTTTTTTTTTGCTTTGACTCCATCCATCAGTGGATTAAGAGAAAATACTGAAATGTCACATTTCTATTCTTCAGCATAAGCTCAAGATAAGATGTTCTGGAGAAATGGAGAAAATACTGGGTTTGGTGGAAGGTTAGACATGCAGGCTCTGTCAGAGTGGGTTTGCTCACTGAAGGAGCAAAAATGGGGGCAACAAATATTAACTGTTATTTACACTTTG